AAAAAAAATATTAGCCCCCTTTTCTGCCCTCTTTTAACACATTGTAAACCAAATTACTCTTTTTGACTCAGAGTTGTGACAGCAACCAGCATATTATAAAGTTGGGCAGACTTACACCTGTGTTCATGAGGTTTTTTCCTGGCACCCCTCAACCTCTGGATGTCACTTCTCTTGCTCTCTTGGCTGTCCCTTCCAGGGACATTTATCCCCTGTAAAATCAGGACAAGAAGTACCGACCTCACTATTCTGAGGTTGACCAGAATGTGTGACACTACGCCTGGGTCTTAGGGGTATTCAAGTTTTCACAGCCCAACTTGCCCTTTGAGTGCCCCCTTTCATCTGTCATGGGCAGAGGAACCAGTAAGCTGTAAACTAAGCACTTGACCTGAGTCCCTAAGGCCAGATGAGGACGACACTTAACGTGCCTGGTCATGGCCACTGTTGCTGACTCCAGTCAAAAAACTAAGTGAGTAGGTCCAAGACCCCAGAGCTCATGATTCCTGGTGTGTGAGCTCCCTCACTCCTTCCTTCATCATGGCTAGTGTCTTGGGAAGGGTTTCTCAATGCCCCTAGCCACACCAGGAACAGTATGAAGGGACAAAACTGGGGGCCAATGACAAACCGGTCTCAAATAATGGCCGTGTCTTCTTGGGGGGAGTTGGAGCCTAGGCAGGGACACCAGCTGGGAGGTGAGGGGTAGGCCAGGCTTTCATTCATGGCCGAGATCAGGTTTGAAGGGGCTGTCAAACAGCATGCCCAGGCACTGGGCCAGCTTCCCGGTCAGCTTGGTCATCTTCATTTTTAGCTTTCCTAGGTGGGCTCCAGCCACTGTCTCATCCGGCTTCTTGGGCAGGACGTGGACCCCAATGGGGTCCTTGTCCCGGTGGGTCCACAGTTCTACCTGTGCCAGCACCTGGTTGGTGAAGGAGTTGCTCATCACGAAGTTGGGTGGCCCATGCCACAACCCAGGTTGACCAGCCAGTCCTCCTCCAGGAGGATGGGGTGGCGTCCTTTCTTCAGCCACCTGGGGTTTTATGTTCACCTTTTCCACAGAAGTCTCTTTCAGCCACTTGACATTCATCTCCATGTCCAAGTGTTCAATGTGACACACGACAGCACCATCCTTCATCTGCATACAGTGCCAGCCAAGGATGATATCAACACAGCCCAGGGGTGGTCACCAAGGCGTCACCCTCCTGACAGGCCTTGTCCATGTCAGTTCCCTCATAGCCCTCCATCGCGGCCTGCAGACCATTGGTGGGTCCAGCTCAGTGATGATGGCACACGCTGTGAAGTCTCCCAGGTCCTGGGCACAGCCCTTGCTCATGTCACCAGAGCCTGCTACCACGGCCACTTTGCTGGCAAATCATCACGCCTGTGGCCTGCTTGATGCCATCAATGAGGCACTCCCAGCAGCCATAGAGGCTGTCAAATTTGCTCTTGGTGACAGTGTCCTTCACGATGATGGCAGGCACCCTCAGGATCCCACTGGCCTTCATCTTGTACTGGTTGTGGACTCCAGTCATAATCTCCACAGCGGTACCCAAATGCCCCACTTGGACTGTGGGTACTTGGTGGGAATGAGGCTGAAGCAGTCACTGCCATAATCCACAATCCTGTTGAGGGGCCTGTGCTTGAAGTATAGGGTTTGCTCCATGCACCAACGGTATGCTTTGCCCTGTTTCGCCCTTCCAGGCATACACTGGAATGCCAGCCTGCACAGTGGCAGCTGCTTCATGGTGCTTGGTGGAAAGGATGTTGCTGCTAGACCCCTGCACCTCTGCTCCCAGGTTGACAAGGGTCTTGGTAATAAGGACAGGGAAGTCATCCGGCAATACAGGCATGGTCAAGGGCAGTCATCCGGCAATATGGGCATGCTTCAGTCTAGGCATCTCATTCTCTGGAACGCCCAGGGCTTACATCCCCAGAAGGCCAGGCTGATGTCAGTGACTTTGTAGGGCAGTTTTTCCGACAGACTGGCAGTGTTTCAGCATCAAGAGGCAAGGGGAATGAGGCTTGGATTCAAGCTGGGGAGATGCACTGGGCAGGGGGCATCAGGCAGGGCGGGTCTACCATTTTCCCTTTTATCTTCAAGGGGATTTAGAAACACTACATTTCACACCTTCCCAACATGATTGCTGAAGAAAAATGTGTGCATAAGCAAATGTGGTGAAGAAAGCTGATGGTGCCCGGCTGTCAAAAGATACAGCGTTTGGGTCTTAAAGGCTTGAAGATAGACAAGTGGCCATCTAGCTCAGAAGCAACAAAACACACATGGAAGAAGCACACCAGCCTTTGCGACCATGAGCTGTTGAAGGGTTTAGGTATCAAGCATCAAAGAACAAAAAAATCATATCATTGTAAATGAGGTGAGCGCAAAGTGGAGACTCAAAGCCCATCAGTAGGCAACTGGACACCCCCTTACTGAAGGGTTGTGGGGAGGAGATGAGCCAGTCAGGATGCAGGGTAGCAATGATGAAACATGTAACTTTCCTCTAGTTCTTAAATGCTTCCTCCCCCCCACTATCATGATCCCAATTCTACCTTACAAATCTGTCTATACCAGAGGATGTACATTGGTACAGATAGCAACTGGAAACACAGGGAATCCAGGACAGATGACCCCTTCAGGACCAGTGGTGAGAGTGGCGATGCCTGGAGGGTAGAGGGAATGTGGGGTGGAAAGGGGGAACCGATTACAAGAATCTATGTAGAGCCTCCTCCCTGGGGGATGGACAGCAGGGAAGGAGGGGGGAGATGTCGGACAGTGTAACATATGACAAAATAATAATAATTTATGAATTATGAAGAGTTCATGAGGAAGGGGGAGTGGGGAGGGAGGGGAAAAATGAGGAGCCAATATCAAGGGCTCAAATAGAAGGCAAATGTTTTGAGAATGATGATGGCAACAAATGTACATATGTGCTTGACACAATGAATGTGTGTATGGGTTGTGATAAGAATTGCATGAATCCCCAATAAAATGATTTAAAAAAATTTTTTTAAAGAAACACTATTTCCAGGCTTGACAGATTCTGCTCTGCCTTTCCCTCAGTTTTCACTCTTGCCCTCCCATCCCCCTCCCACTGACCCCAGCCTTTGTTCTCTTGACCAACTCCTGCTTGTCTTTCAGACAGAGTGCATCAACTCCACTGGGCAGACCTCCCTGAGATGGCGTCCTCCAGCTGTCCTGGGCACCTGTCTCCCTCCCAACCCATCATCTGTGTTCCCTTATTATGGCATGCCCTGGCCTTTCTGGTCACATAGAAGATGCATCATCTACAATTTTAATATAGTGTACTGCCCACCTTGCCTCACATCCTGAGAAACTGGAATCACAAAGTAAAATAAGGAATCAAGTTATCTGTCTGGGGAGGGCCATGCAGAGGTGTCCCAGACGTCGGCACATGGATGAGTCCGGCATTGCTGCGATAGTTTTCCCACCAGAAAACAAAGGGCGAGGCTTCCCAGCCTAGGAGAGTTGGTGCTGCTTTAGTCGCCCAACATTTAGATTTAAATGCACTATTATCTCTGACCCCCTTTGTGGCATGCGGGTGGCACACCACATATCATTTAAACTATCACTATCCAAGACGCATCTCACTCTATTAGATCTGTCTACATGATATTTTATCAACAATTTAGCTGGACTGCCGAAGGTTCCTAAGACAACATTTCCTTGTAACATCATCAGACGAGTGAATGTAGTGTCATTTTGCCTGTCTTCTTCATAGTTGGGCCCTTCAAGGGCAAGTTAATCCATTTTGCTCATCTTTGTGGTTCCCAAAGTCTCCCACAGTGATTGCTATGTAGGAGCGAGCAACTACCGTGGTTAAATAGTCTGCCTTCCAGGATTGCTGGCTGCATGGACTTTTCTAGCACCACCCCCTCCGACTCACAAGCCCACTGCCATCGAGTTGACGCTGACTCCTAGTGATCCTGTGAAGGGTTTTCTGAGTCTGTAAGTCTTCATGGGAGCAAACAGCCTCATCTTTCTCCCAAGAGGCAGCAGGTAGGTTTGGACCTCTAATTTTGAGGCTAGCTGTTCAAGGCTGAACTCACAGCAGCAGGAGTACCAGCAGACAGAAAGTTCTAGGAAGCAATCTTAATGTGGTTGTCAAGTACCCTGCTTTTGGAGGATGAAAGCAGGCCCTTGGTAATTCAGTGAGCAAAAGGAAGTGTCTTTAGATTTCTTTCTTTTGTTTCTGCTGGAAAAACAATCAAAATGCTAAAATTTCCCTTTAATGAGACACAATACCTTTCAACATGTCTAAAAGCAAGTCATATGAAACGTTGTTTCAGTTAAAAAAAAAAGTGAAGGGGAAATACAAATGGATCAAACCTCCTGGGAATCCTCTCTGCCTATAGATAATCCAAGGATGTGAATGACTTTGCTATTATGCCGACTGCATTAAAAGGTAGATCACTGCAGATGCAGCTGGGTTAAAATTTAGCACCTTATCATTTGATCTCCCATTTGACCCATTTTAAATTAGTTCTAAAATTTGTGTTGATGCTGGTATGACTCTGTTTCATGTGATTGAACTATTGAATCATAAGATACACGAATTATATGCCAGAAAACTATTTAAAAATAAATAAACCAGGAGAAAAAAAACCCCAAACCCAAGTCCAGGGCTTACCTCAAAGCTCACAGCTCCATTGTGGTCCGTATCAAAGGCGTTGAAGAGAAAGTGTGCGTAAGTCGTAGAGTCTGAAATAGTTTTTAAAGGGAATAGCATTAAATCCGTTGGTCAATGTCTCACGTGGCTTGTCTAATGAGTAAGTCAAAGACCCCCTTGTATGAACCCCAGATTGTTTGTTTCTTCATAAGAGGCTGAGTCCTTTGAGCCCCACATCCCACCAATGCCAAAGTCAATTTTTTACATATCCAGTAACTTCTGAAATAACTCAAGGATGCAGATGCCTAGTCATTTCCAGTCCTGCTTTTATCTCTTGTGAAACTGCACCCAGTCTTGGCTAGTCATTAGTAAGATAAGCCCTGTCGTTCCAAAGACCCCACGCTACTTTCAGAGATTCTCTTAACTCCCAACTGAGTGACATCTTGCTCTTTTCCTCTTCTGGTGGTTTCTTGAGATTCCTGCCTGTGAGAAACTACCACTACCAGCAACCATTGGTGCACTGGACCCACTAAATAGGTTGGTGTACAGCACTGCTATCTTGGTTCAGACTTTTCCCCTTAATCAGCCTGAACTCCCTCAAATTCACTGTACGTGTATAACATGCTGAATCCTCATTTTACCCTGGAAAATTAAATCCACCTCCTTCTGTTTATGTTTTCTTCCTAGCTGGTAATCCTCTTTCAGTAGAGAATGGGTCTTTAAGATCCACAGGCATGCTCTATCTACACAGGGTCAGTTGGTGATGGATTGTCTCAGTACCTGGCTGGAAATGCTGTGCATCCTGAGAGGGGTACTGTCACCACTGGAGTAAGTAATGGCATCATCAGTGGGTGTGGAAAGTAAGTGAAATGTTTCTGGAAGTTTCTTACTGCTTGTCAGAGACTATCTCTGGAAGTAAAAGAGTAATGGTAAAAAATACAACTCATGAAAAAACATGAGCTGCTATTAGTGTTTTTGCTATGAATAAACTTCTGTTGATTTTTCCAACTCACACGAGGACTTTGGTGTTAGCTGGTCAGAAATTGGGAGACGAGAGGCTAATGGAAGGAAACTGGCAGGAATCTTAACAGGAAAGAGAAGTGGAGACAGGCTTCCCCCACATACCCCTCCTGCACAAAGGAAGGTGAAGGGCAGAATAATCAATGGAAGAGACTCAAAATACTGGAGATCCTGAAATGGCTGGGAGAAGAAAGGCAGTATGTTCATACAACCCCCACTGTGACTGAATAGACTCTTGAGTTTGGGTCTGAGACAAGAGCACAGCACGAAGTCTGGAGGGCTGGGGCGCTGGGATGCGCATGCCTGAAAAGAGAAGGGTACACTATGGAGGACCAGCCAACAGCAGAGGACCTGCCAGAAAGCCAGGCTCTGGTGGGACTCTGCCATTAGCGGAATATAGGTCCAGCTTTATATTTTGCCATACCTTTTTGACTAACTAAGGGCCCTTTGGATTTCATTTCCAAATTGTCCTCCTTCAGTAAACTGATTCTTTGGGTTCAAAGCTTTTCTCTGACTCTGATCTGAATTTTCACCCTCCCCTGGAATCTTTCTTGCAAGTGGGACAAAAACTGAGTTGGCTCGAGACTAGAAACTCTGAGCCTCCTCCCGGTAACATCGGGACTCTGGGGTGGAGAGAGGAGTCAGTCATTTGTAGAACTGGAAGGTGAACGCCTGTCTTTCAACTCTGAAGACCAGGCTAGTCCACAGCCATTAAACTTGCCTGTTGGAGGGGGGTGCATCCGGGTGTGTTGGGGTACACGATGAGCTCCGGCAGTCACTTTGGCAGTGGGCATGTATGCAATAGGGGACCACTGCCTGCTTTTGGCTTCTGCTGGGATTTGAGGCCCTGAGTAGTGGCAGGCAGGTTTGAGTGGCCCTCAGGCCTGATGCCTGATGAAGGCTACCAGAAAGCATGAGAGCCTTATGAAATCCAACATTCTTGCTTAGTTTGCTGCCAGCAAGCTTCTTTGTCTTATTTTTCCTTCCTTCATGTTCTCTTATCTCTCTAATCTCTGAGCTTTCTATCTTTTCATTTCAAAAGTGTGTATATATATATATATACATATACATATATATATATATATACTTCGTGTTTTATTTTCTTAATGCACAGATTTCATTTTTCAGCATTTCTGACCATGACCCTTGATAGGATTTATAGGATTATATTAAATGCTTGATTCCATAAGTGTTAGCCTTTTATCCTTTGCTTTTTATCTTAAAAATAATGATAACCTTTCAGCTTATTGACTGTAGCCTACTACCTTTTGTCTAACATCTCATCTATTTCTGTCACAAAACAGTTAACCTTTATTTTTCTTGGGATTTAACAAAACTTCTATTCACTTTTCATTTTATAAATTGATTTAACAAAAGTTACCAAGAAACGAAGTCATAGGAGCAGGTGCAGAGAATTGCCCTCTCTAAATGGGGAAGGGCAGAGGTTATCCAAATTTCTCTTCTAACCTAGGTGCCCACGGCCTTCCTATGTACTTTCCCCCATGCCAAGGGATGCTTCACCATATTGGTTAGAACTATTCACGGTCACGCATGTCATGACATAGAGTGTATGTACACTTGGTTTCTCAAAATCATGGTGGTATTTTCTTAGTCTCTTAGAAGAATTAGTCAGGATACGCCCTAGAACTGAGAATGGGGAGACAGTCCTCTCATGTGCTTTGGAAATGTGCTCAAGGAGGACCAGTCCTGGGAGTAGAACAGCAGGCGTGATAAAGCAGAGGTCAGCAAAAAAAGAGGAAGCCCCTCCGTGACACGCATTGACACAGTGACTAGGCTAATGGGCTCCAGCACAGAAACAATTGGGAGGCTGGAGCAGCAGTCGGCAGTGTGCTATGTCGGGGCCTCTGTGAGTGGGAATCAACCTGCCAGCCCTGAAAAACCACATTTCTTTCACTTCTCACCTCAGAGTACAATATGAGGATCCCCTTATCCTAAACTGAGGAATTATTATAACTATTTTCAATACATTTACCAGGCACCGCAAATTAGGCCTAACTAACCCGTGACCCTGCTCTCTAAAACCCTTTTGGCTCTGCTGCAGTCCTTTGACCATCGTCAGCTTGGTGCGATTGTTGGGAAGTTCCAGCACGGCGCTGTTGAGAATTGGCAGCCTATTTTTATTTTCAAAGTTATTTTGCATTCAACAGTACTTTTCCCAGACTTCTTGAACAACTTCGTGCCCTGGGAGGATGTGAGTTGATAGGTAGTATGTTGAACTTATTTTAGGGGGAGGAAAGGAACAGAGAACCTTTTGCATATTTTATAATGAGCTTCATTAAGCAAGTCTCTCGTTCCCGTTTATATAATCAGGTTAAAGGCCTTTACCTTAGCAAGCAGTACTCACCAAGAATGATGGTTCAGAACAAATGATGTCTGCAGGTTTTCAAAATTTAAAAACAAGATATCATGGGCATATGATAATGACCGCTTCTCAAATGGGATTGCTCCAGCTTTAAAGTTCGGCACATGGGAAATAAGCTCTCCAGGTTTGTGCTAATGGGATCCCGAGGACTTCGTGAAGGAACCTTGGCAATTCTCCTGGAAGCCACACTATGCAGATAGCCATAGTCCATAATGCTCAATCTGCGGTCAGTCTGGCTTAATTTAAATCTCAGCTGTACCACATCCTGTGCCATCTCGCTCTCCGTGACTCAGTTTCCTCCTGGCCCGAATGAGAATACGTGTGTTCTTTTTGAAGTCCTTAGGAACTTTACATGAGATACTATTTGCAAAGGGTTGATTTGTCCTAAAAAGCACCGAACATTTATTGCTGTTGTTGTTTTTAGGTGCCTTTGCATCAGTTCTGATGCATAGCGACCCTTTGCACAACAGAACGGGACACTGTCCGGTCTGTCCTGCATCATCTTCAGCAGCATCATTTTGTTTGAGCCCATTTTTCAGCCGTTGTCAATCTTGTGATCATCTCGTAGATAACCCACTGGTAGTCCAACTACTATAAGGGGATATAGTCAATTGTTGTATATGCACTGTATATTCACCTTAAACAATTCCTGTGTTTGTAAACACTGTACTATGGGTCCAGGTGAACTAGTTGCAGCTTCCAAATCAGTTAAGGATTGTAGAATTCCATCATGAAAGGCCAAGAGACTCCTGATGGAGTTCGGGTTTATAAGGCAGGGAAGGCATTGGAGACGCTGAAATCTTTAATGAGGAAGAGGGCTGCCACTCGCTTTCAGTGCCCAGCTTGGCCCAAAGGTGAACATAGCAAAGGGAATGCTTTTGTGGTTTCTCTTGCCTGTCATTTTTCTAGGGCCTCAGCAAATATTTGTTGAAAGGATGAGTAGCTGGCTTCTTGTATCGCGAACGTCAGTACTAGGTCACACCTGGAATGAGATAACAGGCCCATGCTTCCACCTGTACACCTGATGATACTCTTGGGTCACTTGTTCTTAACCCCCATAATTAACACTTTATCATTTGATCTCCTTGACATTCCATTTAAATTGTTTCTAGTTTTTAATGTGCTTTCTTTTCAATTGAGGGTTTTTATCTGTTTAACTTTATCATTGTTAGTTTTTAAAAGCATTTTTGCATATATGAAATTCAGGACAGACAAACGTATAGAGACAGTAACTGGATTAATGGTTCCTTGGGGGAATGAGAGGTTAGGGGGAAATGGGGAGGTAATAATGATAAGTACAAGAGTAAAGAAAATGCTCTCAAACTGATTGTGGTGATGATTGTACCACTCTTCTGGACGTGATTGAACTATTGAATTACATGATATGTGTGTGAATTATATGCCAATAAAATTATTAAAAACAAACAGCAAAAATAATACATCACCCAATTGCCTTTGATTTGTTTCATAGTGAACCCATAAGGCTGTCAATGGTTGTGATCTTTTGAAAGTAGATCTCCAGGCCTCTTCCAAGGTGCCTCTGGATGGATTCAAACCACCGCACCTTTTGTTTAGTAGTTGAGCATTGTACCACTTGGGCGACTTAGGCACTTAAATGGCATGACACACAACACAACTCAATGCTGATTTTGATATACTGAGATTGCCTCTGTTCCTTATTATGGAGTT